AGCGGTCATCTTTAAATCTCATTACGTGACCAGCCCATCTGATTTTTGACACCTTGGCAAATGAGACAGTGTCCCTGATTCTTGATCGTCGACGGATGTCGGAGCTCCGGATTCTTTCTCTCATTTGAGTGAAACGTGATATTCCAAGCATAGCTCTTTCAATTCCTCTTTGGGAGACCCGAATAGTGTTCTCATCCTGTTTACATAGGGCCCAGGTCTCTGAGGCATATGCTAATGGAGGAAGAACAGTGGAATGAAAGAGATGTGCCCGGAGCCGGAGGTTCTTTGTCCTCTTAGCTATTTCTTCGATGCTCTTGAAGGCATTCCAAGCCACTCTCTTCCTCCTGCGCAGCTCGGGTGCCAGGTCATTTGTCATGTTGACTTCTCAACCTAGGTACACATAGCTGTTGCATTCGGAGATGGTTGTTCTGTTGAGAGCAAATGGGGCATCAGGAACGAGGCCGTTTCTCATAAACATTGTCTTCGTAAGATTCAGCTGTAGTCTGACCTTTCCACACTCACGGTCGAAGTCGGCCAGCATTTGTGCCGCTTGGCTGATGTTTGGTGTTATTAAAACAATGTCATCAGCAAAGTGGAGGTGGTGTAGTTGCCGACCATCTATCTTCACTCCCATTCTTTCCCATTCCAGTCATCGCATGATGTTCTCAAGGGTGGCACTAAAGAGTTTCGGTGAAATGGTATCACCCTGCCGAATCCCTCTCTTGACATCAATGATACTTCTTTGTAGAATGGTGAGATCCTGGTAGTGAATCCACAATACAGCTCACGGAGGATCTTGATGTATTGAGCTTGAATGCCCTGACTGGCTAGGGCTTCAATGACCACTTCCGTCTCAACAGAAACAAAGGCGTTCTTTAAATCAATGAACGTTAGACAGAGCGGCATCTTGAACTCCCGAGAAACCTCAATGAGCTTGGTTATCGTGTGGATATGGTTGATGGTGCTGAATCCTTGGCGGAACCCGGATTGCTCGCATGGTTGTCCTTCATCTAGTGTTCCGCCAATCCTATTTAGGATGACTCGAGTGAACAACTTGTAGATGACAGACAATAGGCAGATCAGGCGATAGTTGCCAATGTCATGGATGTCTCCCTTCTTGAACAGTAGTACGGTCCTGCTGGTTTTCCATTGGGATGGAACCTTGCATTCAGACAGGTAGCGTGTGAAGAGCCAAGCCAGTGTATTGATGACGGCAGGTTCTTCAGGTGTTCAGGTCTGACCTTGTCTGGGTCAGGTGCTGTTCGTTTCTTTACTCACGAAATGGCGTGTCGGATTTCGGAAGGGAGAACATTGGGAACGACATATCCATCCTGTGGAATTTGGTATGTCGGCAAGTGGACATGGCTATCGAAGAGATTTGAGTAGAAGTCATGAATAATCTTCTCCATTGCTGTTCTGAAGGATGTGATAGATCCATCAGGACATCAGAGGGCAGTCATCTTGGTCTTGTAGTTGGCGAAGGACAGGTGGGCGTTACGAATACTTTTCCCGGCTTCTGCCGCATCTACCAGCACTTCTGCTCTTCTCTCTTTGAGGTCTTCCTTGATCGCATCTCTGCACTGCTTTGCGAGCTCGGACGTTTGCTTGCGGTTGCCTGAGGCATGCGCCAAACCACGTTGGTGAATAAGCTCAAGAGTTTTCGAAGACAGGTTTTTTTGTGGCTATCTTTCTCTTGGCGTTCCTTGCACAATCATGGAGGTGCTGAACCAGTCGATCGTATTCCTCGTCAATGTTGTCAACAATGGTATCTTCCCATGTTGCTGCAATAGTGCCAAAGAGCTCCCAGTTGGTGGTCGTTCTGGGAGTTCTCTTTTTAAACTTTGCAGCCCTTTCTCCCCGCTCTGTGAAGTAGAATTTTGCACGAAGGAGACGGTGGTCCGATCCCGTTTGGAATTTTGGGACAACAGCGACATCGGTCAGGCAAAACCGTCGATTGAATGTGATGTGGTCTATTTCGTTGTGGAATCGTCCACCGGGAGACTCCCATGTTCAACGTTTAGATTCAGCCATGTCAACGTTTAGAACTGTGAGTTACCATGGATGGTCTTGGTCAACATGATGAACTCAGACAGTCTCACACCCTGTTTGTTCCATTCTAGGCCATGGGTCCTGATGTGAAGTTCTTCAGCTGATCTTCTCGATCCTATCTTGGCATTAAAATCACCCACAGAATGCAGGCTGGTCCAACCCTTTTGGAAAACAGTATGGACAATTCTCAAAAAATTAGAATTTGATCTCCCATTTGACCCAGCTATAGCACTCCTGGGAATGCTATAGCTTTCCCAGAGTGCAAAAAGGTATAGTCGAAGTGACATCTGCAATTGTTTGTTCATTGCAGCACTCTTTACAATAGCCAGAATCTGGAAAAAACCTGAGTGCCCGAGAACAGATGACTGGTTAAAGAAACTTTGGTACATTTACACAATGGAGTACTATGTAGCTGTTAGAAAAGATGAAGTTATGAAATTTACATACAAGTGGTACTACATGGAAAGTATCATGTTAAGCGAAATGAGTCAGAAAGAGCGGGATAGACACAGAAAGATTGCATTCATCTGGGGAACATAAAGCAACAAAACGGGAGACTAACACCCAGGAATGGTTCAGATTAGTACCAGGAATTTTGCTCCATGACTTGAAGGCCAGCCACATGTGCTAGGTGAAGAGGAAGCTCAAATAGAGAAGAGAGCACCAAATAAAGGGTGTTGTGAAGACCCTCCCAGGGTGGGAGAGACATGCTAAAAGTAGTCTATAGACCAAACATGATTGCCACTCAATGCCTCTCTGGCAAAACACAGTACCCAAAAGAAGAGAGAGAGAACAAGGGGGAATGCCCTGCCACAGCGGCAGGGTGGGATGGGGGGGGGTGGTGGGAGGGATGCTAGGACCCGTGGTGGGGGAGGATGGGCACTGGTGGAGGGATGGGTACTTGATCATTGTATAACTGAAACCTAAGCACAAAAATTTATAAGTCTATAAATGTACTTCATGGTGTTTCACTAATAAAAAAAATGATTAAATAAAAAAAATAAAATAAAATCACCCACAATGATCTTGTAGAAGGTGTGGTCATCTTTATAGAACTTCTCCAGCTCCATGTAGAACTTCTCAATTTCTCCTTTATCATAATTAGATGTTGGTGCGTAGAAAACGAATATAGAAACAACCGGCAGTGAGCCACATCTATTCAAATGTAAACATCCGATTTGGGTTGTTAGGCATTCGAATGAATCAATGCTCATGGCCAAGTTTGTGTTGACAAGGACACCGAGGCCTCTTTTATCACATGTTCCGAGGAACAATTCTTCTCCAGTGTCAAAAACGGCATGATGAGATTGGTGCCTTCTTATCTGGGTCAGACAAATGATGTCATACTTGATCTTTCGCGCTTGTACCATCAGGTCCTCAATGGATGCATCTGATGCTAGCGTTTGTGCATTAAAAGTACAGACGATCATTTTGTATTCCTTCATTGTGGCAGCCTAGTTTGGCTTTGAGATTTTATCAGCCTCTCCTTTCTCATCCTTCTCAGTGCTGCCATGTTGGTGAAGCCTTCAGGGTCAGGTGAATGAGACCCATTGTAATTACTGGTTTTGGCATATCGAATACACAACGGATAGCTTGCCAGGCTCTGCCATGCGGGTGGAATACTCTCGGTAGCCTGCCAGTCTTTCCGAGAGGGATAGAGGCTTTTGGGACGACCTCTAATCGCCCTCATAGGTGTTACCATATTTGAACCCTATCAAATATGGTACAGCAATTCCGGAAGATGGGTATTTAGTGTCTTATGATGTGTTGCGCGGCCGCTTTGTGGCCGCACGGGTCCAAAAAGCATCCTGGAGTGTGGCAGCTGCTGGGTAGTGGAGGTAGTGTCGGTCACCGACACTACCGATGGTCCCCTTCATGCAATATGCAATACAAATGTCACACAGTGTCTATCTGTTCAGTCTCCTGGACCACTGCCATGGCAATCTTCCTCTTGCCTTCAGCCATTGAGGTGTTCAATCCAGGTATTTTTCTGCACACAATTTTTTGTAAAAATGAGATCACTCTGTCTAGTTCTTTGTCTTCTTCCATTGTTGGGAGATTCTTGGATACTCAGGAGAAACAGGAGGCCCTGAGGGTTGGCCCCATATCAACAGAAAAAACTTCGAATTTTTACTATACAACTCCTATATATTTTATTAGATTTATTCTGAAATATAGTATAACACTACTTATTTAAAACGGGCCATATATTTTTCTTTTTTAAAATCTTTACTAAAACATAATAAAAATTATCTTGCAGGTACACACAGAAAAAATATGATTCACAGATGAAAGGGAAGACAACCAAACCAAAATCTTCAATACCTGTCAGCTAATGTTGAAGCTAAAGTTTTGAGTGAGACATACTTCAGGGCTGATAGGAAAGTCAATAAGTCTTCCCTGGGACTGGAGCGATAGTACAGCAGGCAGGGCATTTGCCTTGCATACGGCTGACCCAGGTTCAATTCCCAGCATTCCATACGGTCCCCTGAGTACCACCAGGAGTAATCCCTGTGCATCGCTGGGTGTGACCCAAAAATAAAAATAAAAAAGAGTCACCCTTAAAAGAGTTCACATGTTCAATAAATGTGCATCAAATCAATAAATAAAAGAGTGATAATGAGATTGTTTGAAATTAGACTGGTTTACTAGTCTCTATCTTAAAAACAACTAACTCAAATGGGCACTGGTGGAGGGATGGGTACTGGATCATTGTATAACTGAAACACAAGCACAAAATTTTGTTAAGTCTACAACTGTACCTCATGGTGTTTCACTAATAAAAATTAAAACAAAACTAACTTACACATAGACCCTGAAAATATATTTTTCTCTAAGATTTCAAGATTAGTGCAGTGCCTTCCCTGAAATATGGGATGCAAGTGAAAGATTAGGCAAACCCTAACAGTTTCATCCAAACATGTTCATAAAAATAACAAGTGCTCTCTTACCTAGTTTCTTGTTCACATCACTTTGAGATCTTTTAGTAGATTTTTCTATTTCATCCACAAGCCTTTGGCTTTCTGACACCAGGCGTTCAGACTGGGACCTTTGGGCATTTGCCCTGTGATATTGGTCCTTGTTAGCAATAATCCACTCTGAGAGTAGAAACTTCGGTGGAGACTGTACTAGTTTGGCCATTTGAAATTTCCAAAATCCTGGTCAAATACAAACAATTTTAGATTAAAGGAAAGAAACTTGCCCTTCATTGAATATCAATTTTTATTCAAGTGTGACATATGCCCCAAGCCTGTACACCAAAAGAATACATCTATATAGGCAGCGTAGAAATAAAAAATAAGCATTATCAACATCTACTGACCTTTCTCAAGGTATCATTCTATTCTATTCCCCATCTATGTTCTCCTTCAGCATATTAACTAACCCTACTTTTCAATCTTATAGTCTTGCCATTTTTTAACTTAATATAAATGGAATCATACTGTGTGCTGTTTGTGTGAGTTCTTTTGCTTAGCACTGTACTTAAAAGAGTCATCTGTATTTTTCATATAGTTGCACAGTTTGTTCTCATTGCTATGCAGTATACCACTGCATGAGGATATCAAAGATTATTTATCTCTTCTACCCTTGGTGGCTATTTGGATAGTTTCTAGTCTAAGGCTATCATGGCAATATTATATGTAATCTTATACCAGTCCTTTAGTGAACACATACATTTATTTTTATGACTCATTATAACTGTCATGTTATAGAGTAGTATTTAGTTTTAGTAAATACTGCCAAAGAGATGAACCTATATTTTCTTTATAAAACAAATGAACAAATGTGACATCTGTAAACTGACAATCGGAAGTTGTTTCCATTCAGCCAATGGAGAAGAGGAAGGAGGAGAACGATAAAAAGAAAGAGGAGGAGGAGGAGGGGGAGGAGGAGGAGGAGGAGGAGGGGAGGAGAACAATAAGGAGAAAGAGGAAGAGGAGGAAGAGGAAAAGGAGAAGGTGGAGGAGGACGACAACGATAAAAATTATTTCAGGTGGCTCTTTTAATCTAAAGATATGAGTTGTCAATTCAAAGTCATTCTCTTCTCACCACCATCTCCTTGTATGTATGAGAGACATGCGAACACAGACAAAAAGAGAACATAAAAAAAACACAAGAAAAGGCAGCAAGAGGGCCAAAAGATAGCATAGCAGTTATAGCTCACGCAAGTCCAGCACATGGTCCCTAAGCACTGGTGGCTGATTCCCCACCACCACAACCACCACACTTTGGGGTTGGCCTGGATAACCCCTGGCACTGCGGGTCTGGAGCAGTGCCACATCCTTGGACCCTTGCATTAAACTGCTGGCCACAGACCACTTGGCTGAGAATCACTGGTGTTCAGATCTTCACCCACCAGCCTCATGAGTTTAGGAGCCCTCTCCCACAAACTGAAAAAAAAAGGGAAGGAAGGAAGGAGGAAAGGAAGGAAAGAAAGAAGGAAGGAAAATGTAGCCTGAAGAGACTGATAGCAATCACAAAACTAACCTTCCCCCACTTCATTTGCACATGTCTCTCTGACCTTGAGAACTCCCTGGCCCCACATATCTTACCGAAATCTGAACTTCTGCTTTTAAGGAACTATTATCTTTGAAGCCCTTCAAACATATAAGGGTGGAACCAGACTGAGCACCCCAAACTACCAAGCACCCTCAAATAACATGGGGTTCCCGTTTCTTCTCAGTCTTGTCCTTCTTATGATGTCTCCCAAATTTTTCTGAATATGGGGCTCCAATTTGAACCCAAGTTCTTCCTATAAAATTTTTTAGCAGGCCCTAGAAGTATCAAAATTCAGGGCTAAGTTCATAGCATTAGCTCTAAGTTTAGGGCTGGGCCAAACAGGCACAAACAAGGCTTTGACTAGGGCTGAGGGCTGCAGTTAAGAATGCTGCAAACCCTGCACTCTTTACAATAGCCAGAATCTGAAAAAAACCTGAGTGCCCTAGAACAGATGACTGGTTAAAGAAACTTTGGTACATTTACACAATGGAGTACTATGTAGCTAGTAGAAAAGACGAAGTCATGAAATTTATATACAAGTGGTACTACATGGAAAGTATTATGTTAAGCGAAATGAGTCAGAAAGAGAGGGACAGACATAGAAAGAGAGCATTCATCTGGGGAATATAAAGTGACAAAATAGGAGACTAACACCCAAGAATAGCCGAGGTAAGTACCAGGAAGTTTACTCCATGGCTTGGAGGCCAGCCGCACATTCTAGGGATAAAGGCAGCTCAGGTAGAGAAGGGAGCACCAAATAAAGGGTGTTGGGAGGATCCTCCCAGGATGGGAGAAGCATGCTGAAAGTAGACTCTAGACAAAACATCATTGCCACCCATTGCCTCTTTTGCAAACCACAACACCCAATAGGAGAGAGAGAAAAGGGAATGCCCTGCCACAGAGGCAGGGTGGGATGGGGGGGATGGGGGTGGGGGTGGGTGGGAGGGATACTGGGATCCGTGGTGGTGGGAAATGGGCACTGGTGGAGGGATGAGTATTTGATCATTGTATAATTGAAACCCAAGCACAAAAATTTGTAGTCTACAACTGTACCTCATGGTGTCTCACTAATAAAGGCCCTCCCGTTGATCATCGATTTGCTTGAGTGGGCCCAGTAACGTCTCCATTGGAGACTTTTGTTGTTACTGTGTTTGGCATATCGGTGTCTCACTAATAAAAATTAAAATAAAAAAGTAAATTAATTTAAAAAAAAGGACTGCCAGACTGGGGAAACACCTCAAAGGACTGAAGTATATATGTCACTTGTGGGAGCCTCACAATCTGTTCCCTGACACTGCATGGGTCCACAGCACCAAGCCAGGAATATTCCCAAGCATTGCTGGGTACGGGCAAATTAATAAATAGTTAATTAAAACCAAAAAAAAAACAAACAAAAAAAGAATGCTGCAAACCCTGAGAAACGATGAACAGAACTGGGAACTGAGGAGGTAACTGGAGCGAGAGGGGGAAGGAGCCGCGGGTCCACGGTGAAGGTGCAGACGCGCGGGTGGAGGCTCTGGCCTAAGTAACACACGTCCAGGGTAAGACGGTGACTTGACAGAGCTGCAAACTCCGCCTCAGTCAGAAAGCAAAGAACGAGCGGGCTGGCGATGGCGTTTACTCACCGCGGCGCCCAAAGAAAGCGCAGTATAAGCTAGGGCTGGAAGCTTCCTAACTCACATCCCGAGCGCGATACCCCGGGAGGTAAACGACGCGGTCTCCATGGCAACCCGCGCCTCGCCCGCCCGGGCCAGGGGGCGGCTCCTCCCCTGAGCGGCGCACGCGCGACGTACGGTCGCGCGCGCTGGAGAAACCGGAAGGACGGACGCCCCGCGCCTCGGAGGCGGGGACGCAGCTCACCGGCTGGGGGGCGGGCGAGCGCCGCGGGCCGAGCCCTGACCTCGGGCAGTGATGCTCTCCCTGGGGGGACCCCCGGATGGGGGGCGTTTCGAGCTGCTCGCCGCGGCGGCGGCCGGGCTCGGGGCCAGGGGAGAGGGTTCCTGAGGTGGCTGTGAGCAGGAGGGGAGGGGAGGGCGGTCCCGGGCGGCCCCCCGGGCGCTTCGGCCCTGGTGGTGGCTCACCCCGGAGCCAGGAGCACCTTGTCCTCCAGAAGGTCGGAGCTCGGGAGGTCTCCGCCGCTTGGACCTGTTCTTCATGGTCGTCGTCCCGGACAGCGCTAACATGTGAGAAATAAAAGAATCATACCCAGTGGGGAAGAAAGGTAAAGACTGAGTTTGCAGGAAGTTAAAACAAGAATGCTCAGGTCTCCCGTCCACGTATTAAGCGGATGAATCGCGCATAAAACCATCTCGGAAAACAGCCCTCAAGAGCAGGTCGCTTCCCTTCCCGAAGCGGGCCTCAAGTTTCTCGCGAGATGCTGGGAGTCTCGGGCCACAACGCGGTCATGAACATCGATACCGTGCGAGGAGCCTTGTTGCATATTCATCTCTCTCAGAAGTGGATCCTTGAAAGAGTGTGTTTTTGGTTTTTTTAAATTTTTAAATGAAATACCGTGAGAGACAATTACAGACGTACACACTTTTATGATTACGTCTAAGTCATACAGTGGAGTACCCATCCCTCCAGCAGTGTTCATTCACCACCAATGTTCCCAGCGTTGCTCTGGCCACCCCACCCCCACCCCCCACTCTGTGGAAGGCACATTCCCGTTTACTCTCTCTCTCTCCTTTTGGGTGTTATGGTTTGCATTGCAATGCAGGTAGTAAGTGGCCATCATTTTCAGTCTGTAGTCTACTTTCTGCATGCATCTGCCATCCAGAGCGAGCCTTCCAAATATCCTTTGCTTCCTGGTCCCTTCTCTATCTCAGCTGCCTTTTCCACCAGCATGTGAGACCAGCTTCTAAGCGGTGGATCCAAAGGAGTGTGTTTACCCACCCACATGGCCTTAAGCTAAGGAGAGTCCCCACCTTTCCGGTAGTAGTGCAAGGTGTGGAGCCTGTGAGAAGGGGCCTCGTAAGGACACGGACACCAGAACAAGGTGACCCGCCTCCTGGGTGGTCAGTAGAGTCACCTTCATAGGAGGATAGCATTCTGCTCAAAGGAGTGACTCTGCAGTTTCCTGGGAAAGCCTTACTTTAGAGACCAGACCCTGGGGTCAACTACCCAATTTACCGAAAATTCCTACTTTGGAATTATCGGAAATATGATAGACTTGATCAAGGTACAAGAAGTGAGCTGATGGATTATGATCATAAATCGACCATTGCATTTTGTATCAGTATAGACAATATAATACAGAGTGGGGAGAAAAAGAAACTCTCAATGAACAAGTAATGCTGGTTGAGTCAAAGTGCCACTCTTCTGCTGGTGGTGTGCTATCCACAAGACTTAAACTTGGATGTTTCTGTATTTTTTGATAAGCTTTAAATGTAGTTGTAAATATTTGAAAATCTTTTCAAAAGTAAAGCCTGGGTCACTCACAAAGCCAGCAAAGGAATGACGCCAATAGAAGAATCATGGATCATTACACACAGTTACTCAGTTTATATCTGGCAGAGGGCTGGAGCGATAGCACAGTGGGTAGGGCATTTGCCTTGCGCGCAGCCAACACGCCGACCCAAGTTTGATTCCTCCACCCCTCTCGGAGAGCTCGGCAAGCTACCTGTGACGTATTCGATATGCCAAACACAGTAACTACAAAGTCTCACAATGGAGATGTTACTGGGCCTGCTTGAGAAAATCGATGAACAAGGGGAGGGCAGTGAGTGATATCTGGCAGAAGTTTGTGTATATATATATATATATATATATATATATATATATATATATAAAGGAATGGTGGAATGAAAAGCAGATCTCCAGCACAAGACTTAGAATTTGCTAAGTTAAGCTTGTATCAAGGCTCCAAAGTGGAGATTTCCAAGCATTATACATTTATAGTTTAGTGATTTTGAGATTCTTTAGGATTAGAATAGTTTTATTTCCTGAGCCAGAGAGATAGTACTGAGGGTAAGACACTCCATGACTGGCGAGGTTTGATCCTGGCCACTGCCAACACTGATTTCCTCAGCACAGAGCCAAGAGGAGCCCTGGCACCAACCATGTGGCACAAAAACAAAAATAAAGTTCTACTTCCCAAGCTTTAGTGTTTCCAGACTTCTTAATTTTGACATATCCAGGTGAAATTATTTGGTTTTTCTTCAAATATTTTACATGTTCATTTTATATGTAAGATTTTAAAAGAAACAATATCACGACTTAAAAATGAAACAAGCATAAATTGTCTGTTGAAGAGTAACCATAAAAATAAATAAAATAGGGCTAGAGATACAGTGTAAGAGGTAAGGTCCTTGCCTTGCATGTGGCTGCAGCTCCCATAACCGTGGTTCAAATATCCAGCACCACATCTGGTTTCCCTAGCGTTGCCAGGGATCACTCCTGAGTACAGGGCCAGGAATAGCCCCTGAATATTGCCAGGTGTGGTGACAGAAAAAATAGCAAGAATAAATAAAGCAATTAATAAAATTTAATACTCACTAAAAATGATGGGCTGGAGCGATAGCACAGCGGGTAGGGCGTTTGCCTTACAAGCGGCCAACATGGCCGACCCGAGTTCGATTCCTCCGCCCCTCTCGGAGAGCCCGGCAAGCTACCGAGAGTATCTCGCACGCACGGCAGAGCCTGGCAAGCTCCCCGTGACGTATTCGATATGCCAGACACAGTAACAACAAAGTCTCCAATGGAGACGTTACTGGGCCCGCTCGAGCAAATCGACGATCAATGGGAGGGCCTTTACCTTTACCTTTACCTAAAAATGATATAATAATAACCCTAACTTTTTTTAGACCATTACATATGAAATCATTTTTCTCAAAAGAATGAACAGATAGATACTTGGTTTGTTGTTAGTTTAAACCCCTTATTTTTTTAGTTTTTGTTCAAAACCAGGAATCTCAACACATTAGTAAATAAAATGCTTTTCTGTCCCAGGAAAAAGAGAGAATCCAGAGATCTTTAGATCTCTAAGTCCTTCCTTAATCTGGTCTCACCTAACACTTTCACCCTTTTAATTAGGAAACCAAGTTGAGTTAAACTAGCTTCCTGAGTTTCTTTTATCGTGCTATATAGGTTTGTTTCCACAGCTGTCTGTGGGGAAGAGGCCTCTTGCAAACAACTCATTCTCAAGTTACTGCATTCACTTGGAGATGGAAAATTCAGGAGTTAAGGAACAGAGTACAGATCCAGGAGATTTAGTACTTGCCAAGTAGAACTTCCAGAAAGGGAGAAATATTCTCATTATACCAGGTTCGATTCCTCCGCCCCTCTTGGAGAGCCTGGCAAGCTACTGAGAGTATTCAATATGCCAAACACAGTAACAGGAAGTTTCACAATGGAGATGTTACTGGGCCCGCTCGAGCAAATCGATGAACAATGGGAGGACAGTGACAGTGACAGTGTTATAACATAATATCAATATCATTTACTGCATACCTGAAAAGCAGTAAATAGAGTTCTTGAAAAATATATCTAAGAAGCATTATAAAAACCATGTAACTCATAACCCAGAAACATAACTGTATGTTCCTGGTGATTTAACTCCACCACCACTCGAGGGCCAGTCAAATCAGAAACATAATGATGGATCAAGAAAAATATTTAGTAGCAACTCACTGGCAGGTTAGAACATGGCAAATTCATGTCCTCAGAACAACCAGTTTGTATAAACAGCCACAAGAAAGAGAAGACTACGGAAGAAAGGTGAGTCACAGAGCTGTGAGCCCCAGAATGAACAATAAACCCTCTCGTGAACTGGTACCATGAGACATATTCCATCTTATCTGCAAATCAAAGCAAAGTAAGGGTTAGACTTTGAGGGGTAGGATAAGCTAAGGATAAACTGTTCTTATCTTTAAGTTTTTTTGGTCAAGGACAGTAATCCTTGTCTAACACTTACATATCACTTCTGATCAAAAAGAAAATAGAAATCCTGTAAAATAAAAAAAATTGTAACAAAAAATTACAATTATGAATAAAATTAAATTGTAAAATGTTTTTTCCGTGGAATATATGGATTAATACATGAAATAAAAGAGATGAGTGCCAATGTCAAGAATCCCCTGAGAGCACCAAATAAAGGGTGTTTGGAGGATCCTCCCAGGATGGGAGATGCATGTTGAAAGTAGACTATGGACCAAACATGATTGCCAGAGAGAACAAAAGGGAATGCCCTGCCACAGAGGCAGGGGGAGATGGGGGAGATGGGTGTGGGAGGGATACTGGGATCCATGGTGGTGGAAAATGGGCACTGGTGGAGGGATGGGTATTTGATCATTGTATAATCGAAACCCAAGCACAAAAATTTGTAAATCTACATCTGTACCTCATGGTGTTTCACTAATTAAAAAAAAAAAAGAATCCCCTGCGATGTGGGTATGGTGCCGCCTGCAGGTCAGTCTGTACCTGTGAGGCAAGTGCATCAGCAGCCTGATGGCGCCTTCAGACTTCCAGATACCCAAAATTGCTGCTGTGCCTTTGCCCAGACCCCCAAAACTTGAGGCAAAGTTTACCAAGAAAGTAAACGGCCAAAAGATAGGTACGTGGGAGATACACCTACAAAACACCTCCGGTTCAGCTATATAATTGGAGGCATGGCCTCTCTGGTTCCTGATTGAATTACTTAATGGCCATCATCCCAGAGACTCAGAAACAAATCTCGAA